ATCCCCACTCGATGGCGTGGCGATGGCGTGTTTTTTTAGTTTAGGATGGAATCGCCCAGTACTCTTCGCGTGTTGCTCACCAAGCCTCGTTGGGAACCTGGCGCAGGGCGTGCACCTCAAATCGCCTCGCACGGGAAGCTCACAGATCGAGCAGAGGAGGAGGAGGAAGAGGAGGAGGAGGAGGGGCGAGGGCGGCGCCGTGTGAAGATCCCCTGTGGCCCAAACGGCCACAAACATAAAGTTAAAGCACACACAGCGGCAATCCAGGAGGGAGGAGCGAGGAGGGAAGCAAAGGGGAAAGCGCGCACGACAGGCAGCAACGGACAGGGGCGGGCATAGCGATAGAAAAAAACGCCCATATTCCTATCAGCCCTACGGCGTCCGCGTGGACGGGAAGCACAGAGAGAGAGAGAGAGAGCGAGCGATGCCATGCTGCTCGGCAGCGGAAACGCCGACGCTGGGCAGCACGACTCTGACGAGCATGGCGGATTGCAGCAGTACGCCGATGAGCTGACAGGCGAGGGCAGCGCCCGAGTCAGCTATCCTACCTGCCAGGCAGCTCGCCAGCAGCACCAAACCCCAGCAGCGCCGTGCAGCCCCAGGCTCCCATCAGGATCTGCCCTCAGGAGCGGTTGTCGTGCCCGTGGCTACGCCGTGCACTACGGGTTCTTGCCGCACGACTTTGGGCGGCTCGATGGGTACCAGCCGCACGACCTGGAGCAGCACGGATTCGGGATGAAGTTCTGAGGCGGGTGTCACACTGGATATCCAGGCAGGCCGGACGAAGAGTCCCAGGCTATCTGGGCGGCTGGAGGCCGGGACGCGCGGCGCGAGCATTCACTGGCCTCGGGTTTGCCCCCCTCCCCCTCTACTTCCTTTGTCCTTTCCTTGGGCTGTGCCGGCACTAGCGTGCCTCGGTGGCCTCAGCATCGGCCACGCGGCCAGGACAGCAGGCGGCCATCGGAGCGGCTGGCTGCCCACTGGCGCCGCCCTCGCGCTCCCCCCTGGGGGCCCCACGCCTTTGGGGGGCAGGGGCCGTTCCTTCCCCCTCCCCCCCCTCCCTCCGCCTCTGCCCTCGTCCCCCTCCCTCCCCTCCTCCCCTGCTGCCCCTGCTGCTGTTGCGGCCTCCTCCTTCCTTCCCCTCTCCCCGTCGTCGTCGTCGTCGTCGTCGCCGCCGCCGCCGCCGCGTCGTCGTCGTCGTCGTCGCCGTCGTCGCCGTCGTCGTCGTCGTCGTCGTCGTCGTCGTCGTCGTCGTCGTCGTCGTCGTCGTCGTCGCCGGGGTCGGGGTGCGGTCCCCTGCCTTCCTTGGGCTTGCGGCCCCCTTTGGGGGGGTGGCGTCCCTGTTAGCGGCCTCAGGTTTCGCACAGGGCAGTTTGTTGGCGTTGCCAGAGTGTTCATGCATACTGCTTGCTGAGGAATGGTAGTTGTGCGTTGTTCAGTTCCCCGCCCCTCGCCTCCCTGGTTCTCTTGCTCTCTCTCTCTCTCTCTTTCTCTCTCTCGCCCCCTGGTGCATGCCTAAATGTTCTGAGTTTTTTTGTAATTTCGTCGTGCGTCCGCGGGCCAGCCCGCGCGTGCTAGGTTCTGCTCCGGGCGTGCACGCCTGCGGGGCCTGGGGGCCCTGCACGATACAGCCATACTAAAGACCTTAGTGACTGTTGGGTGCGTCGCTGCGCTCCCTGCGATGCTTTGCTTTGTACTGTAGTTCTGTAGTTGGTCTTCCGACTTGTGGAGCCTCGTACTGTGAACAGGTCGCGGCCATTGTTGTTATGATGGCGTGGCGATGGCGTGTGAAACACGTCGTGTGCAGACCAGCCCGTTGTCGTCGGATCGAGGTGCCGATGAGGCCGACCACGTCGGCAAGCCTCAGGTTCGCCGAGATCTCGGCGAGGCGTTCTGGCTTCGCGTAGGCGAGGTTGGACTGAACTGGACCAGCGTCAGCGATGCCCTGCGCGAAGCTGCCATGGTCGGGGGGGGCTCTGGAACGAGTAACACCACCGCGACCCGGCGGGAATCATCCCCAGGCCAGCCAGGGCGCTCTCGAGCCGGCGTGGCCTTGTCTTCGACGAGGACGCACGATGAGGAGGCGAGGGCCATGGAAGGCCATGTCGACACTTTGCGAGCGGGGCACGGCCAGGGAAAAAGCGGCCAAGGCTGGGCCGCAAAGGAAGGATGCTCATATGACTCATCCCTTATTTGCGGATTTAGGGGAACAAAAAATGGCATAAACATAAAAACTCGGAGGCCCGCGCGGATTTCTCGGATCGGCGCTGGACCCCCCTCTCTGGCGCGCGGAGCGCGCCAGGGGCGGCGCCGAAGGCGCCGCCAGGGGGGCCCCAGCGCGGATCCGAGAAACCCGCGCGGACCTCCGAGTTGTTATGTTTATGCCACTTTTTGCTCCCCTAGGATTGACCGTATGCACCGTCCTTGGCCTGACCGTAATACATGATTAATGTACTGATAATTAAATGCATGAACTCATCATTGGTTTTAAACAGAATCCCTTTATTTTGAATATATAATCCGCACGAGGAGCATGTATCATTACCCCAGTGCGACCCTACCTAAAAGCTGGAGCCCCTAGGAAAACAGCATTAGTGGCTATGCTATGCTATGTTATGCCATGATATGCTGCGCTATGCTATGCTATGCTATGATATGATATGCTATGATATGCTATGCTATGCTGCGTTATGCTATGCTATGCTCTGCTATGACATGCTATAACATGCTGCGCTGTGCTGTGCTAAGTTATGCTATGCCATGCTAAGATGCGCTATATTATGATATGCTATGCTATGCTATGCTATGCTATGCTGCGCTGTGCTATGCTGTGCTGTGCTGTGCTGCGCTATGCTATACTATACTATGCTGCGCTATGCTATGGTATGCTGGGCTATGTTATGATATGCTGTGCTGCGCTATGCTATTCTACGCTATGCTATGCTATGCTGTGCTCTGCTATGCTAAAGCTCAGCGAAGCTAAGATGAAGGTAAGCTAAGCTAAGATAAACATGAGCTAAGATGAAGCTAAGCTAAGCTCAGATGAAATAAGCTAAGCTAAGATGAGATAAGCAACGCTAAGCTAAGGGGACGTAACTGGGGGAACCGCGGGGCGGATACTGGGGGAACCGCCCGGGCCGCTTTCCACTGCCCGGCCCCTTTAAGCCCAGAGAGTAAGAACCCTTCTAGGCAGAGCCTAGGTACGGCAGGTTCGTGTCGTGTCGACCCCAGCGTTGGTTTCTGACACCGCGCTGGATCGTGCAACCTTGAACGATCGGCCGCTGCCGCAACGTCCGATCGTTCAACGTCGATCGATTCTGGGTCGCCGGCGGCGCTCAACCTTGAACGCCCACGCTGGGGTCGCCGCTGGTCGACACGACGCAAACCTACCGTAGGGGAAAAAGCGGCACTGTGTGCACCGGCCTTGGCCTGGTCCATCCTCCCGTGACCAGGGCCCGCGCCCACGGCTCCAACCCCCCCCCCCCCCCGGCTCCGCCGCGGAGGGCACCGAGCCTGGGCCCCGGGTGGGCCCGGCCAGGATCGGAATGGGCTCAGGTCGGGCAGGGCCTCCTGCAGGGGGAGTTTGGACGAACAGTCAGGCATATTCAAACAGATAGCCCCAAAAAGCTTTCAAACATACCCCAAAATCGTCCCCAGACTATTTTTTGACTGCTTTTCCATATTCCTCCTCTGTAGAGGGACAGGCCCGACGTAAGAGTAGGTGCGCACACGTCTCGTCGCCCGATCCAGTGGAGACGGGGCGAAGACACGCTATGAGGTCGAAGTGAGCCGGGAACCTCTCAGGCAGCTCCACGGAGGAGCGATCTGCCTCTCTCATGGGCCTGCCTTGCCCGTTCCAGGGGAACAAAAAGTGATATTGACATAAAAACTCGGAGGTCCGCCCGGATTTCTCGGATCGGCGCTGGGGTCCCCCGGCGGCGCCTCCGGCGCCGCCCCTGGCGCGCTCCGCCCGCCAGGGAGGGGGGTCCAGCGCCGATCCGAGAAATCCGCGCGGACCTCCGAGTTGTTATATTGATGCCACTTTTTGCGCCCCGTACGTTCCCCCATCTGCAGGCCAAACGGGGGGGCCCAAGAGGAAGGAGGAGCAGACAGGCGAGGCCCAACTGGCAGCTCCCGTCCTCGCACCGCCTCTGGAGCAAGTCCACGCTGGAGCTGCGAAGCCGCGACACCTCCGAGCGCATGGCCAACACCTCCGAGCGCATGGCCCTGCTGTCAGCCTCCCGACGACGACGACGACGACGACGACGACGACGACGACGACGACGACGACGACGACGACGACGACGACGACGACGACGACGGCGACGACGAGGGGGAGGAGGGGAAGACGAGGAGGTGGCGGAGGAGGGGGAGTGGACGGGGCAGGAGGAGGGGGAGGGGAGGGAGAGGGAGAGGGAGAGGAGGAGGAGGAGGAGGAGGAGGAGGAAGAGGAGGAGGAGGACGATGACGAGGAGAAGGGCTACCTGGAAGGATTATCTGAGACGTACCTGCGCACGAACACACTGAGCCATGCGGCTCTCCTGCTGGCCGCAGCAAAGAAGACTTTGCCGTGCAGCGTATGCACAGCCGCGCTTGCCAGAAGAACCCGGGAACGGCACCCGGACGGGCCCCACAAGGGCGCCGCGCGGCCCCAGGACCCCAGGGGGCAACGAGCTGTTTAGGGGTGGCTTCGCGCCACGGGCTTCGGCTCGAGCGGTCCGCCAGGCTGGCCACGCCCCCTGCCAGCACAAAGGTCGTTCTTGGCCTCCCTCTTGCAGGCCAGCTCGTCCATCCGCCGGACCTCCAGGTTGCGGACGGTCTCGGCCTTCTGCTGCCACATCAGCAGCTTCTCGTTGGGGATGTCCAGCGACCAGCTGATGAAGCATCTGTGGATCCGCATCATGTCCAAGCTCCGCATCTACTCGCAGGCCTCGGCGTGAAGAGGCCCCTGCACCATCTTCACGCGGTCGACTGGCTCCCCGCACTCGTCGTCGAATCACTCCAAGTCCACGTTGGCGTTGGCCCCCACGTCGCACTTGCCCTTCTGGCCGCCCATGCTGCCATTGCCGCCAATGCCGTCAATGCACTCCAGCTCGTCGTCCTTGACCTCGGAGAGGGTCGCCACGTCGGCGTCGCCGTTGTCGACCTCCAAATGCTCGATCTTGGCCTCCGCCCGCTACAGCTGTTCCTCCCCGTCGGAGAGGTCGGCCCACTCCCCGCGCGCCGGCGCCTCATCGACCACCTCGTCCTCGCAGGAGTCGCTGTGGGAGGCGGCTCCTGGGTCTGGTGGCTGCTCGCGCCAGCCGCCACGGAGTTCTCCTCCTTCCCAGACCCCCGACGTCGTGATTTTTTCACAACGTCGACCCCCAGAGGTCTGGACCCCTTCCCTGGGACCGGTTTTTCGTTCTGAGTCGTTTTTTTACGGTCCCGAAGGCCGGTAAGGGCCCCCAAAGGCCGAAAATAGCGAAAAACCTCCCGTCGTGATTTTTTCACAACGCGAGGAGGTCTGGGTTCGTGTCCTTCGCGATCCGCGGCGCCCTCACGTGCGCCCCGCCCCCGTGGGAGAGCCCGTCGCTGCCGGGGCCCGCACGCGGGCAGGACGAGGCGGGGCCGGCACCGCCGCGGCCCCGCCCCCCCCGGGGGGGCGTCGCTGAACCCGTGTGCTGCCCCGCCCGCACTGGCCACGAGGAGGAGGAAGAGAAGAGGGATGAGGAGGAGGAGGAGGAGGAGGAGGAGGAGGAGGAGGAGGAGGAAGAGGAGGAAGATTATGATGAGGATGAGGAAGCTGATGATTCTGCTGCTGATGCTGCTGATGATGATGATGAGGAGGAGGAGGAGGAGGAAGAGGAGCTGCTCGGTGTCCACGTTCGTCCCTGGCCCCCCTGCCGATCTCCTGCACGATCGGCTCGGCCCGCCTCGTCGGCTCCCTGCAGCGGCTCCAGGAGCTCGGCAAGGATGAGTTCCGCCTCATCATAGAGGTTCACGTCGCTTTCGCACTCGTCATCGCCAATGTAGAAGTGCTCCACCACGCCGCCGTCGCCCACAACCCCGTCTCAGCCCTCCACGCCTTTCTCCTGTGTCTCCTTCTGCGCATGGACCGTGCTCACTGCCACGATCTGCACCTGCTGGTTTGCGGTGGGCGCGTCCATGCGCTCGCTGCCCGCCACCGCCTGCGCGGCTTAAGTTCAGAGGGCCGCCATCACTGCTGAGTCGACACTGGCCTGTCCAGTCGACAATCTCCTCAGATCGCTCAAGATCCCCGAAGCTTGAGCCAGCAGGAGGAGGAGGAGGAGGAGGAGGAGGAAGAGGAGGCGGAGGAGGGGGAGGAGGGGAAGAGAGGGAGTAGAGGAGGGAAGAGGAGGCAGGAGGAGGGGGGAGGGGAGGGAGGGGGAAGAGGGGGAAGAGGGGGGGAGGCAGAGGGACGGGGAAGAGGGATAGGGGGAGGGAGGGAGGAGGAGTGGAAGGCCTCGCGCCGCCCCTGGTCCGCGCCCTGCAGCTCCTCGCAGCGCGCGCGGAGCAGCTCCGCGCTCGCGCTGCGGAGCCGCGCGACCTCCGCGCCTCGGCCGCGGAGCGCGAACCACGAGAGGTCCTCCTCCTCCTCGCTCCTCCTCCTCCTCCTCTTCCTCCTCCTCCTCCTCCTCCTCCTCCTGCTCCTGCTCCTGCTCCTGCTCCTCCTCCTGCTCCTCCTCCTGCTCCTCCTCCTCCTCCTCCTCCTCCTCCTACTGCTGCTCCTGCTCCTCCTTGTCCTCCTCCTCCTCCCTCCTTTCGAGCCTTTCGAACGCGGCCCGATGGTCTCCGAGAGACCGTGGCCGTGGCGGGCTTTGCCGCAGCGGCAGCGCGCGGCGGGCCGGCCGCGGCTGCACACAGGGGGGACCCCAGGAACGGCCTCCAGAGGCCGAAGCAAAAAAACGAAGGCCGAGGAGGCCCAGCGAGGGCCGAAGGGGCACCAGGTCCCGAGGGCCGAGGGGGGGAGAGGGAGGATGCCTCCAGGGCGCTCGAGGGGGGGGGGGGGGGGCAGGCGGCGCGGGGCGCGGGCAAAAGGTGAGAGCCCCGACCCCCAGGGAGAGGAGGAGGATGGCTGCCTGGCCGAAGGACGAGAGGACAAGAATGATGGGCCGGAAGGAAATTGGCCCACTACTACTCCTGATGCAACCAACGCGCGCGACTTGCCTGACCGAGGAGGGTCACGCGGAGAGCCGCAAAGAGCATACAATTGTATTGAAAAATCTTCTGAAGCAGAGGCGTAGGGCATATTCGGCTGCCTTCGCGCAAATTTGCCTAGGGCATATTCGGCTGCCACTCGCACGCAGCCTCCCACAGCCTGACAGGGCGCACGGCCGGCCGGCCGGGCGAGAGGGGGGAGCGTCCACAGCCCCAGACGGGCCTGGGCGCGCAGCGGGGGTCGGGAACCTGGATACGCCTGGGAAAATCCGCACCCAGACACCCCCGCCCCAGATAATGCCAGCAGCCAGGCCGCCAGATATCCAGCAGCGTGGGGCGAGGGTAACGGGGTGTGCTGCAAACCTCCGAAGCCAGGACGGAAGGGGGGGGAGAGGATAAGCAAGGCGGGGGAGGGGGCGTGTCCTGGGTCCTGGCTGGCATCGCCCGCTCGCCGCGGGGCAGCTCACCCGAGGAGATCGACCTCACCCCCCTCCCCTGGAGGGGGTGTCCCCGGTGGTGCGGCCGACCTTCCTGGTGTTGCTGTCCCAGTACGAGTGCTGGGCAACCTCTGGCTTCTCCATGTGCCTGCGTAAGGCCTTCGCTGTCGGTTGCCTTAACAAGCTATGATGTATGGGTCGAGGTGCGCTGCGTCATGGGTGGTAAATGGGTCAGGGGGAGTAGCTGCTGGTGTTATACCCCATCGCGCAATCATCAGTCTGTCCAGGGAGTATGACATGTAGGTCATCATGTCGGTGTGTTCGCCGTCGTAGTCGATGCAATTGTTCGTCGTCATGACCCTAGTTCGAGTTCCGTTGGAGCCTGTCATAGTGGTATTGCTGGCGGTAAGGTGACGTCCAATGTGCTGCAACTGAGGCGTCCTCCAAGCCGCAATTCCATGTGAGTTTGTCGGTTCTGCAGCTGGATGGGCAACAAGCGTAGGGATCTGGAAGGTCTGCGAGGCGCTGGAGATCTCGATGATGTCCCTGAGGTCGTCGTTCATGGCCGAGATGAGGTCGTAGTCCTTCTGGCCCATGCTTGGTGCGCCCCACGGGTGGATTGTGCTTCTGCGAGATGCGGTCTTCCACTCGTCGGGGTCATTGTTCTCGACGAACCAGGTGGTTATCGGGATGTAGGCGTAGACACCAGCGATGATGCCCTCTTTCACGTTCGCCTTTAGTCTGTTGATGAGCCTTCCTGCTCCTGCTCCTCCTTGTCCTCCTCCTCCTCCTCCCTCCTCCTCCTCCTCCTCCTCCTCCTCCTCCTCCTGCCTCCTGCTCCTCCTCACTCCTCCTCCTCCGCCTCCTCCTCCTCCACCTCATCATAACCATCACCATCACCATCACCATCACCATCATCATCAACATCAGCATCAGCATCAGCATCAGCTTCATCATCATCATCATCGTCATCATCATCATCATCATCATCATCATCATCATCATCATCATCATCATCATCATCATCATCATCATCATCATCATAATAACGCGATGAAAATGTGGGTGGCACGTGACATGTGCCCGCAGTGATTGCGTTCCCTTTGTGCTTCGACCTGCATCGTGCACGCGTCATTCATCTTGCGTGCCTAATCTTCTTGCCTGTCTTCAGTTTGCGGTTGTGGATGACTTATGTTCTGATCTTTGGTCGGCGGCGGTGCGCCCCGCCGATCGCGCGCTGTGCGGGGTAGATTGAGCTGCCCCTGCACGTGCGCGTAGCGCACAGCGGCATTTCACGCGGTCTACGCGGGCAGAGGGCTCGACCTCCCATCTCCGCTTTCACCCTCCCCTTGAGCCCCGACTCTGTTAAAAAAATCATCATCATCAGCATCATCATCATCATCATCATCATCATTATCATCATCGTCGTCATCATCATCACCACCACCATCATCATCATCATCACTCTCATAATCATCCGCATCAGCATCAGCATCATCATCAGCATCATCACCGACATAACCATCATCATCATCATCATCATCATCATCATCATCATCATCATCATCATCGTCATTATCGTCATCATCATCATCACCATCATCATCATCATCGTCGTCATCATCACCACCACCACCATCATCATCATCACTCTCATAATCATCCGCATCAGCATCAGCATCATCATCAGCATCATCAACGACACAACCATCATCAGCATAATCATCATCATCACCACCACCATCATCATCATCATCATCATCATCATCATCATCATCATCATCATCATCATCGTCATCGTCATCGTCATCGTCATCGTCATCGTCATCGTCATCGTCATCGTCATCGTCATCGTCATCGTCATCGTCATCGTCATCGTCATCGTCATCGTCATCCTCCTCCTCCTCCTCCTCCTCCTCCTCCTCCTCCTCCTCCTCCTCCTCCTCCTCCTCATGTCATCATCATCCTAATTCCTCATCCTCGTTCCTCACTCCTCAGAATTACCTCCTCCTCCTCCTCCTCCCCCTCCTCCTCCTCCCCCTCCTCCTCCCCCTCCTCCTCCTCCCCCACTCCTCCCCTCCTCCTCCTCCTCCTCCTCCTCCTCCTCCTCCTCCTCCTCCTCCTCCTCCCCCTCCTCCTCCTCCCCTCCTCCTCCCACTCCTCCTCCTCCCCCCACCTCCTCCTCCTCCTCCTCCTCCTCCTCCTCCTCCTCCTCCTCCTCCTCCTCCTCCTCCTCCTCCTCCTCCTCCTCCTCCTCCTCCTCCTCCTCCTCTCCTCCTCCTCCTCCTCCTCCTCCTCCTCCTCCTTCTCCTCCTCCTCCTCCTCCTCCTCCTCCTCCTCCTCCTCCTCCTCCTCCTCCTCCTCCTCCTCCTCCTCCTCCTCCTCTCCTCCTCCTCCTCCCTCCCACTCCTCCTCCTCCTCCTCCTCCTCCTCCTCCTCCTCCTCCTCCTCCTCCTCCTCCTCCTCCTCCTCCTCCGCCTCCTCCCTCCTCCTCCTCCTCCTCCTCCGCCTCCTCCTCCTCTCCTCCTCCTCCTCCTCCTCCTCCTCCTCCTCCTCCTCCTCCTCCTCCTCCTCCTCCTCCTCCTCCTCCTCCTCCTCCTCCTCCTCCTCCTCCTCCTCCTCCTTCCTCCTCCTCCTCCTCCTCCTCCTCCTCCTCCTCTCTCGCCCGCCCTCCGTAGAGCACGCGCTCCGCTGCGAGGGGGCTCCCTGGGCCGGTGCTCGACGGCGCCGTGCTGCGCGCGGCTCGCCTCCGACCGACGACGACAACCCCTCGATGGCCAACAACGAAGGGGCCCCAGGACACACAAATAAATCGACACAAACAGCAGGATGCCCCATATTTTCACACATTTTCTGGGTGTCTGTCTTCCCCCCCCCCCCACTTCCCATATTTTCCCGTATTTTCCTGGGGATCAGCGACTAACTGTGTGTCTGTGTGTTTTTTTCCCTCCTGAAACAAACGGGGCACGGATCTTGTCGTCGTCGTTGTCGTCGTTGCCGTCGTTGCTGTCGTCGTTACCCGCCGTTGTCGTCGCTGTCGTCGTTGTCGTCGTCGCTGTCGTCGCTGTTCTCGAGGCTTTTGGCGTGGCTGTTGTCGTTGCCGTTGTGGTCGCTGCCGTCGTTGTCGTCGTTGTCGTCGTCGTTGTCGTCGTTGTCGTCGTTGTCGTCGCCGTTGTCGTCGTGGTTGTCGTCGTTGTCGTCGTTGTTGTTGGCGTCGTTATCGTCGTCGTTGTCGTCGTTGTCGTTGTCATCGTCGATTTCTGTCTTTGGGGCGGAGGCTCCGGACCGGAGGACCGGCAACGGCCGGTGCGAGCTTCCGACGCTCGCCGAGTCAGCTCGGCACAGCGGCCGAGCAGAGGTGAACCCCGCGCGGCCCCAGTGGAAAAGGGCACTCCCCTACAGTGATGAGCAAAGGATGGCTT